GTCCACCCATCTTCAAGTGGCCGAGGTTGAGAAGCACTGGCTTAGAGGGACACCTAGATCCAAACCTGGAAGCTTATACCACAAACTGTGACATGCTCTGTAGTGCAAACCCAATTGCCGCCAATTAGGGGCTTTTTTTTTTTTTGAGAGGGGGAGGCTGGAAGGTTTGGGGACCTTGTCCTTTTCTACAACAGGGCGAGGTTGTTGAGGGGTTGCAAATGCTTGTCATGAGACGAGGTGGCTCGTTCTCAACCTCCTGCAGAGCGGCCACACCAGTACAGAACTGTTGCACTTGTATACCCTTGAGAGTAAACAAATTTGTGACTTTGAGGTTGGATTCACAGATGATGCTAGGCCGGTTACTTATGGGGGCTTGAGACCAGGGAGGGAACCCAGCTGTTCGTGTTTCATGAACTGTGATGGATGGTTTCTTGCCTTGGGTGAACCTGACCAGTTGGGCTATATTCAAGATGCCATAGTTAATGCAGCTGTGGTTGAAGCATTTTCCTATTCATCAAGTTGAGGCAGTCTGGTCACCCTTGTTTTGGGTTACAGCATCAAAAATACTTCTGTTGGCCATTGTGGCTGGGGCTGATGACACTTGAAGCACGAACAGAAAAACCTTTGAGCAACAGTTGCGTATCCGGATCAAAGTTATTGGGGATTGAAAAGGGCTAAGTTGATCTGTGGCTTGTCAGTAGCTGTTAAACTGGATGGCTTAATCAGTTCTCCATGTTCAGGAGCAATAAGCCTGAAATTAGCCCCCCTGCCCCCCCTCGCTGTGATTGACTGGTGTTAAATCAGTTGCAGTAAAAACTTATATCATCATTCTTGACAGTGGGGCCAAAAGGTAATTCAAGAGGTTTGTTTGTGACATTTCTGTGCAGCGCTCAGAGATGGCATATATCCCATTCTAGATGGGTGGCTATGAAGGCCTCTTATACAAACAGAAAAGTGGATTTTATAGCATCTTAAAAATGACCAAATTTATAACATCAGAAATTTGTTGTGTGGGCTAGAACCCACTTTGCTGAATGATTGTCCTCAGTATATAAATACAGTAGAGTCTCATTTAACCTACCTTCGCTTATCCGACATTCCATCTTATCTGATGCCCCTAAAAAAAACACAACAACACGCATAAATCGGCAACGAGAAAAGTGTGCCAATTGTTTGCGAGCGT